TTTTTTTTATTAATTTTAATTCACCTCCTCAAGGCCGAGAAGGCCACTACAGACGAGGAGGTTACTTATTTGTGGCTATAACCCTCTCTCAACTCTATAACTCCGAAACACGAACCTTGATGAACAAGGCCGCTGCGCAGAGAAAAGAGTTGAACGCGGTACTACCAGGAACGTGGCGAGGATCGAACTCCGAACCACTCGTTTATGAAGCGAGCGCTCTACCACTACACCACTACCGCATGCTTTAAGGTAGTTGTAAGATGTACGATGATAGGGGGATTCTAATGGTAAAGAAGAATGAGATAATAGTTTTAGAGAGACCAAACCATGATCAGACGCACCTAAGGGTGAGTGTGAAGAAACTGAACACTGACTAGGATCAGAAACAAGACATAAGTTGAGTAGAGAAGGTAAATGATTCAGGTTGTCTGGAAAACGAGTTGGAAAGTTGACTATTTGAGTTAGGGATTGAGAAAGACAAAAGTTGTGGGCCTTAATGCCTGCAGAGTCACTGACACTTGAGCCAAGCCATTCAGTGTGATGAACATTAAAGTCACCGACAACAACAATATTGGCTGATGGATAAAGAATGAGGGCTTGGTCATTATAATCAGAAATAACATCAAGAAGAGTGCGGTCTTGGGATGAGGGAGAACGATATAGAACAAAGAGAAAGGTGATAGAGTGAAGTGGTACTAAACGAAAGCACATAAAAGAGTAGTCTGTGGATTCAAACCTAGTTTCCCGACAAATGGGTGAATTCTTACGAATGTAAATGCCCAGGCCAAGCATGTGACTATTGGAGTCTTTACGAATTAAAGAAAGATAACCATCAACACTAAGATCACAAGATGAGACAGCTGAACTCAAATTAGTCTCACAAAGAGCAAGCAGGTCTGGTGAACTTTGCAAGAGATAAGACTCAACAGAAGAAAATTTACTTCGAAGACCACGAATATTGGTGAATATAGGTTTAGCGAACTTGGTGATGACTGTGGTTTTTTGTGTTTTATAGTTTTTGTTACTTTATTCATTTTTAAATTTGTTAAAGAACTTGACTCGAAACATTGATAGTACTCAGTACACTGTTCTATAGCTCAAGCAATTGCCTCATTTCCACTAATAATAATAGTCAAGGAAGTTAACATTTTGTAAATTAGTTTACCCATCCTTCAAAAATCCGCATTAATTATGAGAAGCACGTTTTTTTATTTAATAATGTTATTGTTTTATAATATTTTTTTAACATGCGAGTAGTGTTGCTGCATAGACTGACAAATAGGTAATGCAAGGAGTGTTGCTTTTTTACTGTAAAACATGTGCAGAGTGTTGCTACATCAATTATCTTATAGCCTACTGTTACAATGGAGTGCTGCTAAATCAACTATCTTATAGCCTGCTGTTACAAGCAAGTGCCACTACATCGACTGAGGGTTTGGCTCATGCAATCAATCTATCATTAAAAAAAAAATTAGCTAAAAATGAGACTTTTTGCAAATCCAGCCCCTGCCCTGGCAAAATTAAAAGATTTAGCAGATAGCTGGGGCTAGAAAAAAATTTAGAATACTTATATATATATATTATAATTTTTATTTATTATACATTTACTTTTTATTAAATTTTTATTAAATATTTATATATTTTCAAATTCTAATTTACTTCCAACAAGATTGCAAGCAACCACTATTAAGTTAGGATATAATTAAATATAGAGAATACTAGTAAACAAATAACTGAAGACTTAAAAAGTTGTAGGTTGTATAAAAAAGAAAAACATGAAGATGATAAGGATTATAAGGTTTTTTAGATGCGCAAGAAAAAAAAACTAGATCAATAAAAGCTTTTATAGCATTAAAGGACAGGTACAGTAAAAGGATGCAACTTGTTGAATAAGAGGCCAAGCAAGAAGGAGTTTTAGTTTATCGTAATAGAGATGACAACTCATGAGTATTGACTATGATAGTATTTATAGAAAAAAAACACAAAACAAAGCAAATGCCTAACAACAATCAGAGAGTGGTTCGGGCTTGGCAGATAAAGCAGGTCTAATTACATTTACAATGTGCTTCTAGACTTTGTCTGAGAATAAGAGGGTTGTTACTCATCAATGCCAAAGGAATGCCAACAATATTGAAATGATTTTTTGCAGTAAATAAATGAGTTTTGTTGTCTAACAAAAATTGTAGATTTAAAGTCTAGAAATTAAATCCACAAGCCACTGTAACAGCCTTGGGCTGTTACAGAAGAGAGATCAGATAAATATCAGCTCCTTGTTCTAAGCAATCAAAAAGTGAAGATATTTTGTCAAGACAAGAGTATAAAGTTGAGTCATCAGCAAATAGAACTACTTTAAATGTAAAATTTTCATGAAGATTGATATTGTAGATAAGAAACAATACAGGAGCAAGTAACTTTAAGAGTACCTTATGGTACCCTTGAAGTTACTTGAAATAAAGAAGAGTGTAGGCCTTCAAGAATAACTTTAATACTGCAATCAGATAGAAATAATTTAATAAATTTAATCTCAAAACCTTTATTTAAAGAAACTAATAACAGAGTAAAGACTAATCATTGGAGTTTTAAAATATTGGAACCACTTATTTACCACTTTTGCAAAGAAATAGAGTTCTGGAGAACACTTTTTAAAGACTATCATAGAAATCTTGATTGGAGCACAAACTGTAGAAGTGTTAAATTGAGAATTAACTTTAGCATTGGAAACCATAGTGATTTGGATGTTTAACAATGGATTAATCTGTTTAACTGTCAAGAAGAGTATAGATTCAAGAGTCAAATTAGAATAAGATTTCTTTGCAAATATATACCATTTATTTAACCATAAAAATATGAAAATTTACAATAATTGTATAAACTCACATAAACATGGTTTGGTGTCACTCATAGTTAAAAAATAGTCAATGGAGTGACACCTAAAAAAAATACATTAAAAAAAAAAAAAAACTGTAAATAAACATAGAAAGAATTTAAAATAAAAAAAAGAGGAAAAAAAATAAGAGAAAAGAAAGGAAAATAAAGCACTAATAAATATTAGATAATGTTAATAAGTGTAATAATAATATAATAGAAATGATAATAATGTGAATAAAAAAACATTGCAAATAATAACTATAACATGATGACTTTACAAAACAATGACAACTAATAATAAAAACTATGGCAAAAATAATTATAGTATTTATAAAAATAATTAGTAATTATAGTAAAGTTTATAACTATGACAGAAATTATTATAATATTTAAAATAAACAAAACAATAAGCAAAAGTTAGAACAATAACCATAAAACTATTACTACAATTGAATCACTACCACAATCATTATAAATAATATTAATAAGATGTATAAGACAAACGTAAATTAATGATAATAGTAATATTAGTAGTTAAGTTAAATGTATAAAATTAAAGTAATAAGAGTTTTTATAAATACAGTAATATAAAAAAAGCAATAATAATAAAAGATAAAATTAATATTCATTAAATATATACCCAAATGAAAATTTCTTAATTTGGTTTTGATTGAGAAGAAGAATGTTGCTAATAAAAGGGTAGTTAGTTAAAATCTTTTTTTTATATAAATGGTATTATTTGGTTCCAGTGAGAAATACATTGATGTTTTATAGAGAGCTAGCCATATTTGATAGTGTTGAAAAAGGAAGTGTGCAAGTTAAAAATATCAGTATTTTGAGTGTAATATTTGTGTGTAACTTGTTTTAATAAAAAAATTATTGAACAAATTTGATAGTTTATTTTGAAGAAAATCAAACACAAAGAGACAATTATAAAGCTTTACAAGGTCTTGAAATTGTAGAATTTTTAATTCAGAAAACCTATTTTTGATGTTAGATAATAACTAACCAAAAGTCTCTAGAACCTAACATCTGAGACAAAAATGGCATTCAGCAATGCCGACCTAACTGCTGGCCTGAAAGTGTTTGAGATTGGGCAAAATTTGCCTACCTTGTTTCTATGTTTTATGGTAAGACCTATATTGCTCCTTATGGTAAGACCTATAACTTGAGCTAATTAAAACTTTTATTGAACTTTTAAAATTAATAATGTTTGGTTATCATACTCATACTCCAAACCTCAAAACTTTCTTAATAAAAAAATCCAATTAAACTTCTAATAAATCTATTAACAACTATTTAAGTAAAAAGTGTTTTTCACCTAAATTTAACAATTACCCTAGCAACAACGAATCCCTTAATTAAAAATATTTTAGGATGCTGTATATAAGTGATTGTTCTAGAAATATTCAAAACAAAATTAATGATTTAACAAAACAGTTATGTAAAGGTGATTTAATTATCAAATTTTAATTTTTTTCTTTTAAAATTAGAAAATATTTCTTATTAAAGGCTTACTTTCAAAAAAATAATGTCTAACATTGTTTAAAAATTCAATTATGCTTACTGTAATGTTTGCTACATAGGACCAACTTTGCAAAACTTTTTAAAATGCATTGATGAACATTTTAAAAAAGTCATAAAAAGTCAGCATAATATGACATTATTGATTTTTTTGGTTTTGTAAAAAATCGGCTGTGTGAACAAACAAAAAAATCAATGGCATCATATACTAAAACTCTTAGGAATAAAATGCGCTTGAATAAATTATTTAGTCTGTAGATTGCGACATATACTATGTTGACTTTTTGGCCTAAAACAAAATGGAGCTTTGAATAAAATAAAAAAGTAAGTTTTTCTTGGTATGCATTTTTTCTTCTGTTTTAATCAAAAAAAAACTTAGCCCAAACATTTTTTTAAATCATTCTCTTCAATATGAGCACAACACTTCTTGGAGATTTGGGATCCTTAAAACATTTATAAATTTTATTTTATTTGTTAAATTGTCATAATTATCATAATTATCATAATAGTTGTTATAGCAGTTCTATTTATTCCTTTTTTGTATTTAAGTTTTTGTATTCAATTTTTATTACAATACTTTTGCATATTAAATATCTTTGTATTTTTAGAACAAAGTTCTACCAATTACATTGCAAAGGTATTGATTTCATTTGTTATTGTTTTAAAAAAAGTTTATGAGATTTTATTAAATAAACAGATAGGAAATAATACCAAGTCTAAAATCTATTTTAGTCATTGGATCTAACATAAAGCAGATAACTGGAGGCTGGTTTAGTATGTATTTTTTTAATGAAAATAAGTATTTGTATGTGTTGTTTTGTTAATGCAGTAAAGTGTAATATCTTGTGGGCATACTATTGATCAAAGCTCTCATTAAATAAATTTTTGCAATGGAAAACAACAGCATGCAAATTGCATAAAAAAAGTACAAAGTGAAAAAGTACAAACTGCTAGAAAAGATCAAATAGGTATTGCATGATGCAAAATCTATTTGATCTTATATATATATATATATATATATATATATATATATATATATATATATATATATATATATATATATATATATATAATATTCATGCAGTAGCACAATCCAGTTCACAAAATGAGCAAAAAATTTCACATTTTATTAAATGCATAAGTTAATCTTTTTGTTTGCATTTTTTATCATCTAGACTCTTTAGAAGTTTTAGAAAAAAAAACATTTAACTCTTTCTATTGTGCTTATTTTGTTTATAGGTTAAAATGACTTGGCAATTAAGATTTTATTGCCCCTGTATGGCTTGTCATAAATTACTACCAACAAGAAGAACAATATGAGATATGGGTGGAATGAAATAAAAAATTTTGAAAATATTTTAACTTAAATATTAATTGTACGAATTTAAAGTTTTATCAAAAAATCTTTTTTTGTTAAAAAGTTATAGACAATTCAGGTCTAAAATTTGCCCATTTAACCCAACAAATAACTTTAATGCTCACAACATTTTAATGAAATTTAAAATCTGGCAATGATTTTAATTTTAGTTAATATCAAAGCATAAAAAAAAGGAGTGTTACACAAAGTAGAGTAACGTAAAAAAGATATATATGACACGGTTCGCACTCCTTCTTAAGAACCTTAAATATCCTTAAATAAAAAAACTTCTTTAAAAATCCTTAAATAACCTTAAAAAAAAGATAAAATTTGACTGCTCTCCTTAATTTATCCTTATTTTTTTTATTATTTTTTTTATCTAGAAAATTTTATTAAAATGAATGGATTATACTTATTAATAAAGAAGCAAATATATAATTCTTTGATAGTTTGCAAACCTATACTTCTATTATATTTATTTTTATGTAAATATCAAGTAATATACTAATTTATAATAATTTTTCTGTTTATATTTAAAATTTATTGAAAAAAATAAGATTCTATTTTTAATGTAATTGTTTTCTCCTTAATTCTCCTTTTTTCTTCAAAAAATTGTCGTTTACGACCAAATCTCCTTAAATATTAGGAAAATATATCCTTAAGGGTGGATAAATATATCCTTCAAGTCAAACTTGAGTATTGACTTTCCCTTCAAAAAATACTCTGCCACTATTGTGGCATAGTATTTTTTGTGTTAATAGTGGCAGAGTATTTTTTGAAGGGAAAACCCATACTCTGTCGCTATTGGTTGCAATGTAAAGTTCAAGTTGAGCTTGACTCAAGTTCGCTTCTTGCATTTCACCCTAAATCACCTTAAAATCCTTTCTTTTAGCCTCAATTTTTAATAGCGGGAACCCTGTATGAAATCACTCAGGAAGATGAGTGATTTCATACAGGAGAGGAAAATTTTTTTCCTTTTTTCCTTTAGGTATAAAATCACAATTCAGTGTTTTTGATGTGCTGCGTTTAACTTTTGCGATTAATCTAAGCCTAATTTAAAGCTCTTTAAATTTTAATTAAGCTAAATAATATTTAATTTTCCAATTTTTTTTTTTTTTAATTGCAGAAAAACTACAGTTTTTATTTCAAATAAATAATATGATTTTTTATAAATAAAACAAATAAAATAAAATGACAAAGCAAACATTCTATATTAATTCCAAAAATGAACCATTTATTTGAATTTTAAACAAAACAATTAATACAACAGCATTTTATTAACAAAAAAGTGATTAAAATAAAATTTTCAAGTCTTAAAAAACAGAAACAAAAACACTAAAATATTTAGGTATATAAATTTTTTAGTGTTTTGACAAAATTTCTTAATTTTTTGACAAAATTTTTCTTTTTTTAATTTTTTAATTTTTTTTTAGTTTTTAACTTTAATAAGATTTTCTATTTCGTTTAGTCTTCATTTCTTTTCAATTTCCTTCGTTTTGCTGTTTCTTATATTTATATTTATATATTTATTTCTTTTATTCTTTTATAGCTTTATTTGAGTATTGAGTTGACTTGTTTCCTTAGAGTATTGTTTTCTCAGAGTATTGCTTATTTCTTCTAGTTTCTTATAGCTTTATTTTGCAACACTTTCTTTAATCACTTACTATATAAAAACATGGTCAAGTTCGATTATTAGTTATATAATTGATTATAGTTATATATTTGATTTCTTGACTAGATAAAAAATAACTAGTTAATTTTTACTACTATGCATTTAGCAATAATCAGGTAAAAATACATTGTTTTTTTTTGTTAAAAAATATACTCTTAATAAATATCGTGTCGTTCAAAAACAAGCATAAAATGTTACTATTTGCAAGCGTAGTTTAGAGCTCATGGTTGTCAAGCAAGAACTTTTTTTTATGACAGCACATATATTATTTCTGTTTTTTTATTTAATAATTCTTGCGTACCTTGGTATGATATTATGCAAAGTTTTTCATGAAGGCAAAGAAGCATTCTTTTGTTAAGTTGCTGAAGAGGGGGACTTGTTTAATTATTTACCAGATTAATTTGGGTGTTATTTTTAAATTTTCTTTTATCTGCTGTATATACTTTGAAAAGGTGGTCAAATTTTTCATCTTTTTGTTGTGAATGAGTGTTTGTGGTCAGTCCATCTTTTCTTCCATTCACCTTCTGTTAGGCCAATATATACTTTTTCTGGATTGTTAGTGGGATACTATATATTTATAAATAACGTTTGAGGCTCTACATTTTCCTATTATAGGGCAGTTTTCTTTATTTATGCAATTGCAGGGTGGGTGTTCTTTTAGTTTTTTTGAACTGATTTTCTTGTTCGGCTTTTTATAATTCTTTTGATATTTTTGGTGCAGCTGTAACTCACTTTGATGGTATTTCGATGGAATAGTTAAGTTAGGGGGTGGGATATATATATATATATATATATATATATATATATATATATATATATATATATATATATATATGTATGTATATATATATATATATATATATATATATATATATATATATATATATATATATATATATATATATATATATATATATATATATTTAGGCGTCCTATGATTCAACCGAATCCCTAATTTCAATTTAGAACCGAATATGAGAAATTTATTACATAATCGAAAATATTTACGAAAAAAATTAGAACCGAAAAAATTTCAATCGAATTTTCGATCGAAAGTCATTAATGATTTTAGAACCGAAAAAATTTCGATCGAATTTTCGATCGAAAGTCATTAATGATTTTAGAACAGAATTTCATTAAAATGGTTTATAACCGAAAGTTACACTGTTATCAAACATTGTATATCCAAATTTTTTTGGTTGTAAAATTCGGTTTAAAAACTTTTGGCGCAAGAAAGGATTTTGTAATTCGATCCTGCAATGAAAGTATACTTTTCAGTTCTAAAATTTTCGGTGATATTTTGGAGGATAAATATTTTCGGCTCTATCATGTGACACGTATATTTATATTATATATATATATTTATATTATATATATATTTATATTATATATATATATATATATATATATATATATATATATATATATATATATATATATATATATATATATATATATATATATATATATATATATATATATATATATATATATATATATATAGCCTCGCAAATTTTTCTGGTGTAGTTGTTTGAAATAATAGAAAGTGTTTTAGGGTTCTCCCAGTTGATTTTGCCATTACAATGTTGTGAGTGTTCTACTATTCCTGATGTTTCCCAGTTGGCTTTTGTAACATTATTTTTATGTTCTTGAATTAATGTGGAAATCTTTTTTCTTGTTTCACCCTTATAACATGCACCACATGTGCAATTAAGTTGGTACACTCCTGGATGACTATTCGGAGGCAGTTTAGACTTGTTACAACAAAGTATATTGATTAAGGGATTACCAAAACGCAAGGCTGTTTTAACAACTGTTTTATCACTTATAAAATAAAAATAAAATAAATAGTATGATACCGTATATGATGTTTTAATGCTTATAATTATACATACTATTAAAGATGTCACTCAAGTTTTATATAACTTCTTCCTACGGTGGGAAGCTTTACAAGAATACCGTTCAATTACAAGTAGAAAAAACCAAGAACGCCGCTAGCAAAAACCAATGGATTTTTTAGAGAGATGTATAAAAAATAATATCATACCTAAATCTTTTCACATTCATTGTCCAGTTAAAACAAAAAATGGTTACAATCTAATGGTCAAATATAGAAATAAATTATTAATTATTGCAAAAAATGACGCTAAAAAAAATTTTTTTACCAGAGCAAACGTAGGGTCATCGAACTATCAAATGCAATTAAAAATATTATGAAACCTGAAGATATGTTAAACATAGAATGCATAACTAATAAATCAAGAGAAATTAAATTTGAACAAACAAAACAACACCTTATATGTAAGTTCAATTTTCTTATCAATTTTAAAAAGAATGGTAGTTTAAAAAAATTTAATCCTTTGAATATTATTTCAATACCACGTACTAACCTTATAAAAAATCCAATATTAAATCTTTCGAATATATCAATCTCACATGAACAGGAAAACTTATTAAGTCTTGATCTGCAATTTATTCTAACACAAAATAAAATACCATTTATTGATATTATAACATCAACTAAGGAATGTGCTTTAATTATTGAAAAAAATGTGAACGTAGAAAAAGCAGAATTTTCAAGACAAAATGTCAGCAAAACATTAACCAAATATTTAAGAGTGAAAATTGATAATAATTCTAAAATATGTCTAAAAATCAACGTCTAGCTATCAATGAACTCAAAAATTCAACCAACATAAAGTTATATCCTTTTGATAAAGATAATAGGTTTTCCATTTTAAATTC